GAAATATAATCGTTACAAATGGTAGTATTGTTTGAGGGAATTACACTGGCAGTATTTTTTTAATTTTTTTTCATGAATAAATTACACATGGTAGTTGAAAAATTTGTTACAACATATTATTAAATGAAAGAGAGAAAATACAAAAGATGATAGTTAGACGATCCATGGATGTTGTAAAAGCCCTCTAAAATGTAGCATACAGTTTATAAACTCATGGCGTCATAGAAAAGAGTGCAGTGAAATATAATTTTATTTGGACTTGTAAGTGAAAATAACAGGGCTTTCCCTAGAAATATAACTAGATAGTACTATATCACTATTAATACTAGTATTTTCACTGTGCTCTTTTTACAGTTTTTTCAACAAACATTATGCAGACCATGGAAAAAAACATTATACAGTACAGCATCTGGAGTTGATTTGGTGGGCTGAAAGGAATGTTAAAGCCCACCACAGAGGCACTCTTCTTCTGTGGTCCTGAACTAAATAGCGGCTGCGGCCCATCATCTTCACCCTCACTCATGGCCGACGGCGACGGCGACGGCGGCGGCGGAGAGGGCGGCGGGAGCGCCGAGTGGCAGCCCATCTACGACCGGGTCCAGGCGCAGGCCGAGGCTCTCGCCGCCGACCGCGCGCGCCTGGAGGCGGCCAGCAAGGTCCAGCGCGAGTCGTGGGAGGCGGCGCGGAGGCTTCAGCGGAGCGTGGAGGAGCTGCAAGCGGCGGCGCGGGAGAAGGACGCCGAGATCGGCTGGTTGCGAGCAGAAGCCGCCGACGCTACCAAGAAGCTGCAGGAAGTGCGCCAGGTGATTCAATCGATAATTGCTGTCTCCCTCCCCCATTCCTCTCTGGGTTTCGATCTCTCCTGATGCTAGCTGGTGTTGCTGCGGATGGAAGGCGGATGCGGGCAGGAGGATGAGGTGGGAGGCGGCCTACGTGGATCTGATTCTCGGTGCTAACCAGAAGCTCGCCGGTGAGAAACCCTAGCTTCTTGTGTTAATCCCTGTTGTTCATGTCAGGATATTTCACGAGGTGGAAATCTTGCACATTTCCCCACTTGTCGCTTCAGTAGTACAGTACATCATTAGATTTCTTAGGGATTTTCTTCCCTTTTCTCCAGTTTCTGCCTGTTTATGCGGCGCCGAATTGTCGATTTTTGTTGGGCAGCGCCGAAGAGAAACTGTTAACTATGATGAACTGAATACCAATTTTTTCCTTTTGTTTTCTTAGCACCAATTTGTGTTGCTACTGATCGCCATTGCCTTCTGCGTTCAATTTAGAACTCAGAGATGTCGACATGGAGGATTCCAGCATTTGTGCAGAAACCCCCAACTCGAAGGTACTTACCCCCTGAGCAGCATAGCTCAAAACATGCAGCCAAGCTTGCACATCTCGTTGATTAACACGATTGTTGTTTTGTGTAACCAAAGGCAAGACTCAGTCAGAACACTGTGGATCAGGCATGCGCTGCAAGTGATTTAAGCACGGAGCTAAGAAAACTAAAGCGAGCGTACGAGACTCTGAGCTCACAGAAGGACATGGAGGTTTCTGCATTATTCTCAGAAAAGGAACTTGTGCGTAACCAGTTGGTTGTAATGCAAAAAGCCTATGATGCGCTTCTTAGGAACAAGAATGGGGAGGCAGCACAAACTACTGAAGCAGCTCAGAAGCTTCACCGGAGTGTAGATGATCTTAAAGTGTCGGCCCAAAAGAAGGACGAGGAGATTAGCAGATTGCGAGCAGAAGCTGTTGCTGCTGAAAAGAAGCTACAGATAGCTCAAAAGCTTCAGCAGAGTGTGGATGATCTTAAGGCGGCGGCCCAAAAGAAGGATGATGAGATTGACAGTTTGCGAGCAGAAGCTGTTGCTGCCGAAAAGAAGCTATGGGAAATGCAATCCTTGGTCAAGGAGAAAGATGATGAAATCCAAACAATTAAAGATGGGCAAGGTGAAACTAATCAGAAGCGCAGGCGTGTCTCTTCGACAGCAAATGTAAGTATTACGTTTGCAATTGTGTGGCTGGGCTCACACAGTGAACCTTTGTTTATTTATTTAGTGGCCTGACTTTCCATACACATATAGTCAATGGACAATGCCGTGTCCAGTTTGCTGAGTAAATCTGCTTGATCAATCATAACATTGATCAATTTTTTTAATCCAAATTTACTGTTTGCAAGTTAGTTGATGACCTCGTGCTGTGTGATCATAGCGTTTTGCTAATATGCATAGATAAAAATACTTGTTTTCCTTTACACCAAGAATCATATAATAATCCTGGGTAATGATATGTGACTTAAATTACATGTACCGACCTACTCACCGAAAAGCCTAAGCTGATGGGGAGAGGTGGTACAATACACTTTGACAATATGCATCCAAAATTATTGAAAGGATGCTTGCACGATTTGTCTTCTGTTGAGAGGCTACACATCAGCTCCAGCCTATTCTTGGCTATCAGATCTGATCCTAGAGCGAGAATGAAGTAGTCAACCCTCATAATCGTATGTATGGCTTGCCGCATGGACCATTTTTCTTACCGTTAGATGCCCCCCTCCCCCCCACACACACACGAAAAGACACAAACACGGACACACACATAGATGATTTCGTCCTTCCCCTAAATTATCCTCCATTTTCAAAAATGTTCCTTGCCTGTCCGACTCACTCATGGTGACTGTGGTAGGGCTAGGTGTGGGCAAGCCGCTCATTGTATCGTTGGCTGCCTGCCTAAGTTTTTTTTGTGGGTGGGGGGGGGGGGTGTTAATAGAAGGACCGGAAGAGGATGTTTCAAGTGGAGATTAGAGGAAAGTGAGCGACCCGCAGGGGAAAAGATAAGGCAGCCTTGTATTGAATCAGGCACTCGTTCATTGCTAATAACACGTGAAGGGGCATAAAATTTCCACAGAGAGGGCAAGCTTCAGTTACTGCATAGTGCATGGTGGAGATGCTTTCAGCGTTGTGATCAGAGTGCTGTTCGTCGACCGCCCTACTGCTACAACAAATTTATGATGGGGCCCATTTTGAGAGCAGAAAAATAGCTATTAATGCTTGCTAGTGGGGTTTGTCTATATAGGATATATAATAAATTTGTTTAATGACCATGCCTTGCCATTTGTGTATAGTCAATGGAGAGGCATTGTTATGTCCAGTTCACTAAGTAAACCTTCTTGATTAAATGTGATTTTAATCCAGATTCCCTACTTGCCAAGAATGGCCTCATGTTGTCTGATCATGAGGTAAGTATCTCTTGTGCATCGATAAAATGTCTTGTTTCTCTTTGTAATCAATGATCATAATTTCC